TGGGGAATATTCACCTTGACTTTGTCTCGGCAAATATTCCCCGATAATCACCGAGCCTGAGGCGAATAATTGTTAAATATGCTATATTGATCGTATTTTTGGCGCCACAGCTATTTATTTCCCCGAGGAAAGATCCCGTAATCAAAAGGTCAAAGGATATTAGTGTTCTAAATTTCTTTACCGAAATACATGTACTGAAGTTTTCACCGGTACGCATCACGTTTTTCTCATTTAGCCTCAATTGCTGACCAAGTGTGAGATTTATGTTATATATATTTTTGAAACAAATGCAAGTGATAAAAGTTTTATTTTACAGCTGCATTTCGATGCTAATTCATGCACCATTTTCTAGTTGAAGTAATTTACACAGACATTAGATGAAAGATGTTAGACAAACAGATGATAGACGTTAGACAGACAGACAATAAACATTAGATGGACGGATGACAGACAGACGATAGATGGACGGACGGATGATAGAAGATGTTAAGATAGACGTGAGCGGTACTGTATACCTGGAAAATGTAAGGCATTTAATGGGTAATATATAATGCACACTAGGGAGCAAGGGAAGAGAGTATATAGCCTGTGTGTTTAACTAGCTTTTGCAGAAGAGATCGATGGAATGTACGTTGCTCATCAAAGTAATGTGAGCTAGAACTTGCTGCAATTAAATTAACCCATTGAGTGGCAGCACTCCCCCCTTGATGAGCAAAATTGGCTTGTTAATAAATATTTTATTTTTCACTTGTTTGCATAGACAGATTTTCAGATTTTGCTGGGGGGGCGGTGGCTAAAATTTAGGGGGTGCCAAAGATTTAGGGGGTTGAGCGACAAGGTGCATAGTGCCGCCGAGCAAGCTGAAGCAGGGGGCAATGGGGGTAATTTTGAGATTTTTGGTCTTATTTAGTTCAAAATCACACTACTGTCATTTATTCCAATGAGCTTCTTTTTTTTGGGGGGGGGGGGGTTACAAATTTCTCTAGGTGCGGTGGGAGAACTTTGGGGGGGAGTGCAAAACGATATCAGCTGTGACAAAAAAATGATATCAGTAACAAAAAGCGATATCAGTGACAAAAAAACGATATCAGTGACAGAGAAACGATATCAGTGACAAAAAACAATATCAGTGACAAAAAATGATATCAGTGACAAAAAACGACAATAGTGACATCGTTTTTATGTCACCCTGTTGTCTTCCTGATAACAACACAAGTATGTGATAAATACAAGCCTTAAACATGATCATTTTAAAAATACTGTAATGGACATTGCACTTACTGTCGTTCCAATTGAAGTGTTGCTTAAATATTGATTCAATACATTTCCTCGGGCTGACCAATTCATTTGATCAAGTTCCTTGAGATATTCATACACTTCCTGTGAAAGAGCCAATTCCAAGTATTTGATCATTTCTGGTCACTTCCTTTCTATTTATCATTGGTTAGTTGCACAAACAACAAAGGTGATTGGTGCATTCAAACTATTCAACAGGAAGTTTACAATTATACTAGGAAGTGTATGAATATCTCGAGGAACTTGATGAAATGAATTGGTCAGCCCGAGGTAATGTATTGAATCAATATTTGAGCAAGTCACTTCAATTGGAACGACAGTAACAGTTAACCAGGGAAAATGTGATTGTCCAGAAACTACTGTACGTCTTTGGTTATAGAGCCTCGTTTTCGCGATTCAGAGGATTGGATTTAATTAATCTTGCAGACACCGAAGGGTGTATTGGTCCTGAGGTCTCTTCTGAAAAATCACAGAGTTGTGTTTACCTTTCTGTTCACTTATTATTGCAAATCAGGGTGATGCCATCATACTTGACCTAGTCTATCATAGCCAATACACAATCGCATCACGCAGCACATTATTATAGTGTACCAAAAGTGTACCATGATGTGCCTACAGTCTACATTTGTCATGACGGAATCCCATCTTCCATTCTCCTTTGCTACTCCTGAGTCATGTTGGAGTCCAAGAGAGCATGCTCCTGAATATCATGATAGCCAAGTAAACAATCAAGTCCAAAAGAGAATTTTCGTTTTTTTAAAAGGAGGGGTGGAAAAATTTCTAGTGGGGTGCAAGTGGCACTACTGAGCGAGCTTCGGCAGGGGTTAGGCGTTAGTTTTTTAAATCTCATTGCATGTCTAATTCTTCAGTGGTTTCTGAATATGATAAATCCATATGATGCGCAATGCTCTTTTCTGAATCGGCTCTATTTGGTCTGAAAGATATTCCGGAAGGCCGTAATGAAATACCTGACACGCGTATTGAAGAATATATCTTATAGAGGCGATGTAAAAACATTTTAAATCATTGCCACTGAGACCCGATCTCTTAAGTTGTTTCAGCAGATACAATCGTTTCGCTGCTTTAGTCGTTATCTTATCCACATGGCCGTTCCAATTCAGGTCAGGTCTTGGGTGATCAATAAACCAAGGGTCGTTGCTTTTTCAACGTGTTCTATGTTAGTTACGTTTATCCTTGTATTTTATCGGGTTGAGTTGGAATTTATTATCAGCGGACCAATTCACAATATAGAATTAGCAATATCTTGTAAGGACTTGTAAACTCTTCATTATATATATATATATATATATATATATATATATATATATATATATATATATATATATATATATATATATATATATATATATATATATATATATATATATATATATATATATATATATAT